CTATACTGCAAGTGTTCTTGCAAACAAAAGAAAATTTAGAGTGCTAAAATTACACAAAAGAAAGCACAATTATCAAAGAAACTTTTCCAAAGCTAGTGCAAACTCTTTTTTTTTGGATCAATAAGAATTCTAATTCCACATTTCTGTCCAAAGAAGCTGCAAAAAATGATAGCCATAAAATTAATTCCAGTCAGTTATCAACATTAAAACACTTCCTACTGATTGTCCTAGATACAAAATCAAACAGCAGGATGGAAAAGATCTCTGCAATGTGAACTCAGCTTTGAGCAAGAAACTGAGCCATACAGTTACTGCCTAATGAATACTCAAATCCAATCTTCCACTGCACATCTACCATGAAAGCTGTCCTGAAGATGATGAAGTTCTGCATCCACCCTTGCAAAATCATTATTGATGTACCCAGGTACACAGAGGTATAGCAGCTGAAGATCCGTCTATACCACCAGAAGACTGATCAAGAAGAAAATGGCATTAAAACCTTCCTTCAATGAAAATTTTTATGAGGACTGTGAAACATGCAGCTTGAGTCGTAGAAATAATTCACAGTACATTTAATGTTGGAAGGAAAAATGTAAGTTTGAAACACTTGCAATAATGGTGTATTTTTTATGTATAATAAATTAATTTGACAAATTAACATGCAAAGCTTAAAAGGGTAATGAAGATACAATTTAAATTTATCACTGCCAGATGGAAAGGAGTCATCACTGAAGACGACGAACTGTACAGATTCCTGTTCTAGCTTATCACTTGGGGAACACTATGGGATCTAAACAAGGTGTATGGACACACAAGTCTTCCTTCAGGCAATACAATTTTGTGTGGCAGTGTATTACCCGTTCAATCTTCCCTCTTCTGACCTTGGTAAAAAAAAATAATTAATTTAGGTTAAACAAGATCACCAAATAGTGGCAGCTTATTACAGCAATATAGCAGGAGGTAAAGATAATATTAGAACGCAACATGCAGCAGAAAAATAATAACAAATATTTTTGTATGTTAATGAGTAAATAACCATTAATTGGCCCAAGTTAGAATGAACTTTTCCAAAAAGCAGATTAGTCTGAATTGTCTAAAGTTTTTTGTATTTACTTTTTTAATGTCTGTGTCAACAGGCCTAACATAAACCACTGTATCTAACTGCAACAATCCTTACTGACCCCTCATGTGCCCAAAGCAATTAGAAGGAGGGATAAAACCAACAGAAGACGACAGAGATTAAATAAACTTATCAGCGGTAACTGATTAAGACATTTTCTCTAATCTCTACAATGCAACTGCCATACATTTTATAACCTTCTGAATGAGAGTCAAACATTCTTCTCCTCCAGCAATATAAAACCACCATTATGGAATGGCAATGCATCTAACAATAATGATGACAACCTGTCCAGCTCTTCTTCTACTGCACTAATTACCAAAGCATGACATTACACATTATTTGACAACAAATAAACCTTTAAAATACAAAAATTAGGAATAGATATACATTAAAAGTACCTACTTTTTCTTCAGGTAAACCGTTTCTTTAAATCTCACCAGAAAGGAAAAAAAAAATTAGTGCCACTAAATTTTGCAGTGTTACTAAACTTTCATCTCTTGAAGTACATCCTAGCTTCAGGGTATATTTCAGACTCAGGATTTTATACTACTTCATTAATTTCTCTGCCAGGTCTGTTCTGAATGCAGACAAGTACTGAAAACCAGAATGGATTTTTAAACAATAAGTGGAAAAAAAAATAAATTAATTCAGACAACTATGTATAAAGACAAATGACAGTGCAATGTATTCAGTCATTTCCAGTGATAAGGACTCTTTGCTGTCTCAAATATATTCCTACAAAATGTTGCAGTTGGGCAGCTACTTTTAATTGATAAAATAACCAGGAGGTTGTATTTTTTTTTTAAATGGTGATCCATCTGACATGGATATAAACAGTACTAAGAGCTTCACTGTCTGTACAGCTTCAGGACTGAAACATTTTATCTCATGCCATAAGCCTGCAAGTCTGTGCACACAAAAATTGACAAAAAAAGTGACTTTCTGACAGTGCTTCCTAAAGGATACAGTGCACTGCCTCAGAAATGGAAGCATTGCCATAGAAGAACAGGAGTTTTCTACAACTGGAAACAGAACATCCCCAGTAGATGGGTAAAGGGAAGGGATAGAAGACTTGTGCTTGACTGAGAAAGGACAGGAAACAAAACAACATGGTTTAATGCTAGCATACGTGCAAACAAGTGCAGCAAGACTATCTAGAGAAAACAAGGGTAGAATCCAGACTTCATACTGGCACCTTCCTTGATTAGCCAAGGACTTTGATTTAAAACCAAGAGAGCATATTAAAACTTCAGACATAAGCACACAAAAAAACAATCAATTCCCCCAAACACCAACCTTTAAAATACATAGTGGAACACACCTTGGGTTGATGAGTCTACTTTGGAACTAGTACTCAACACAGTGACAAAAAGGAAAAAATTGATCTGTTTGAACTGAAATAAAGTTGCTCTATTTAATAGGGAGACCTATTTTTGAAAATCAGTTCCCATAGTTACCATAAGCTGCATTTCAAAGGTTTTATGTTGACCTAAAATACTTTCTTCTGCATCTTTCATATAGGAAAATTTTTCAAAAGACTTAAAATGTGAGCTTCTAGTCTAAGCTCTAGAGTGACTTTATAATAAAACTAATTTTTAAAGTTACATTTAAAATAACCACAGTTTCTGGAGTTTGTGTTCATCTCAGTTTTCATTCCTATATTGTCCAAACACAGGAAACACTTTTTTTTTTTTTTTTAAACAAAACCACTCACTCTCTGGAAATAATTTTTTTGTTCATAGACTCATGAACCCCCATTTGATCTTTCAGTAGCTGATAGCACAGTAAAAACCCCAAACACTAAAGAGAGGAAGACAGAAAATTAGGTCCAAAAATACATAACAAATCACTCGCGTTACGTTCACTGACTATTAATTCTTCAAGTATCTGCATTGGCAAGTGTCCTAGTAACAAGCTAGCAGTTAATTTCTTACCTAAATAAATACAGTGGTAATGATCAACCAGATATTACCTGCATTTTTCCTGTTTTGTCTAGATCTGACCAAATGTAATCAGCTTATAATTACATTAAGTAGTTTGCTTAGCATTCTATTTATAAAACTGATTAGATACTGCAAAGCAGAGTAGGTAACAGTTTAACACTTCATAGGTGGAGAGGGAGCAAGGACGGTAGAGAGAACTTTAGAAATATTAAAGCATTTTAGAGGTTCCAAATCTGTTGCTTTATGCACATTCTAAATTTATGAGTTAGTTGGTTAAACAGCACGTATTTAGAATTTAAAAATTATTACTATTCAATATTTAATTAAGTAGGTCCAAAGAAATGAATATTTACCCATTCTAACTAATATTGACTCTTCTAGAGAGTGAAAAAATGGTGTTGCCCTGGCTTGGGAAAGAGAAAATCCAGGTTGTAGGAAAATGAAAAGACTACTGCTGAGGCCCTTGCCTGATGTTGATCTAACTGAACAGGATGTAAAAAAGGACACCGTGTGAGAAATTGCTGGATGTGACAGACAACATTTTAAGACACTAACAAAAGCTACAGATAGCACCATGAGGGATGGTTGGATTTCACAGATGGTAAAGACGAGTTAGCTGAGAAACAGCCAAACTTCACAGAAAATTGAAGCCGGACCTTTGACAAATAAGGGACGTTCTGGGAGGCAGAACTTGCAACCCCAACAGTAACCACATCTGTAACATAATAGGAGGCCAAGATTCTCTAGATAATGGTATCAAGAATACTAAATTTGAGTACAGATGAAGCAAAAACAGGACCAGTAGGGAAAAGTAATTAGAGGTAGATTATTTATCTGGGAGGAAACTGAGATTTAAAAAATAAAAAAAAAAGGTGCAAGGATGGCAAAAGGAGGGTCAGCAAAGAGGAAAACACATACACTATGTAAAAAGTGACCACTGCTGTCTGGCGTAGTCCTGTCCTTGATCAGCACATCCTAATTAGGACAGTAGACTAAAGCAGTTGTTCTGACCCATACCACAAGTAAAACCTCCTTCCACAACCAAGAGAAATGCAGAGGGTGCAAGGATACTTCCCTTGGCTAACAGGACACCTGGCTGGACAGATCAAGTAACCTGGCTACCCCTTTGTCAGTGCTGGCTCCAGGTATGTCAGCATCTGCATCTACCCACCACTCCCTAACACAGATCTGTCAGAAATGGCCTTTGACAAACTACTTTGATTTACCTCCTCATTTATATAATGAACTTAATACAACTTTTCTTATCTCCTTTAGTAACATTATTTTTGGCACTGACAGTAAAGAAAAAAGAAAGAAAGCCAACAGTTTAAGTTATTTAAGCTCCTAACATTTATCTCTTGCTATCTTATCTTTTAGGTAAATACGAAGCTTAATTGTTAGAGGTTCTGAGTTTTCATATATATGGCTACAAGTTGCACTTTGATTCCAAGAAGTAATACCCTGTCTTTACAAGTAAAAGAATGGCAGGAGAATAATTCCTTCAATACAAAACAAAAGGTACTCGTAAGTATAGGATAGGGTAGAACTGAAAGGAAGATAGAGGAAAATACAGTTCCTAAATTTACAGATATAGTATGTGAGGAAAAAACATTCAAAAATAATAGAGCAAGGGATTAATAGAAACAACAATTTATCAGTGCTTATCAACAACAGCCCTTACTCCGATTGTAAAGAATAAGAAGCATGACTTCATCTTAACAATGTAGTGATTTCCAAACACACAGTCTTTGTTCATCACCAAGGGTTAGACCAACACTTAATGAATGTATTACAAATTTGTAACTTTCTGTCAAAAGATTAGTGTTTCTTAAAAAGATTAAAATAAAGGGATTATATTATATATGCAGAAAAAAATAATCACAAAAGGCTTATATTTTATGCTAATTTATATTTATAGCAATTGTTTTATTTACCTTTTTGTTTTCTTGTAGTTTTCCAGCTGTAATGTCTGCATACATTTGTATCTTTCCAACTCATACTGTTCACATAGGTCCTCAAGACACAATAGATGATTCTCCATTTCCTCAAAGTTTGCCTCTAGCTGGGCTATAAGAAATACTTGTATGAACATCAAATTGTATCAATAGATGGACAACTCACCTGAACAGAAACAGGAATTCATAGAGGTACATAATTAACATGGTAATAATTACACATATATAAATGGCTCAGAAAAAAATAAATAAATTCTACCTCACATAACCTAGCATGGAGTGAGACCGGAACAACATTAAGGGAGATGTATTTGAGGTTCCCACTGCAGTAAGATGTTGCTGAACCATTAGATTTGCCCCAGCATCCTGTTCTCACAGGTTTGTGCTCTATATTCAGGAAAAGAAGCATCCAGAAACTCTAATTTAATTTTGCTTCTTGGGCACACTGCTAGTTTACCCATTCCTGCCAGCTACCAATCTGAGGAATAAAGCTCTATTGACCAAGACCAGTACCGATCTTAAACTATTCAAATTAAGCAAAAGCAATGCATATTGGGAGAATTTTAACTCCTACATGACCTCATGATAACATAAAACAATACAGACTTTGAAAGTTTACTCTAAAGACAGTCTAAAGACTGATATGCAAATCTCTAAATTTAGCTATTTTACACACCCATTCACCTAAAAACATACAAAACCTCCTAATCTCCTCTTCAACCATAACTGTTCAGAGTCTCAAGTTGAAAGAGACCACTCCTGTGAAAAGCCCTGTAAAACCTGATCTTATCTCATAGCTCACTCTGTTTTGAGTGGAAATTTATACTAGAGAACTCCTGAGGTCCCTTCTGACCTGAATTATCCCATGTGAATCTTGCATTGAGGGATCACTCTCCATGTGTGTTTAATGCTGAATGCAATGTCCCTCCTCAGGATCCCTAAGTGGAAAAACTATTTTTCCACACTCTAACCACCTAGTCACTCTTGTATGGAGCTGTGTGAATACAGAACTATTATTCAGCCTTTTGCCAGGACTTCTCCTGTAACAGAGGGATGGTAAATTGCAGGAGGAAGAATAAATCACACTTTTTACAAACACAATAGCAACCAAAAAACAGAAAGGATTTTGCAGTTCAGAGGCATACACTGCAATGGGTTAGTACCTGAACTTGATTGTTGATGCAAAGAACTACAAAGAAGATGGAATGATACAGTAGAAAACCTAAAGCAACTCTTGAGTTTTGGCAAATGGCTGTTACACCTTTGCCTCTAACAGACAGCAGCAATCTTCATAAAGTAAGAGACCAACCATTGAGTTGAAAGTAGGAAAAAAGTTATTTAATGTGTTTTGGATGCTCAAAAGAAGGAAACAGTAATTGGAAGGCATCAGTCAAGCTTTCAGTTCTGGTTTGGTCATTCTACTTGGAGTCTACCTTGAAGTATACAAAAATTCAACTCTCTTAGCCATTACTCAATTAGAAATTGCTATCCTAGCAGTCACCCTAGAAAAGCAAAAAGTTAAGACCTCATAAACAGATTTTCTAGCATGCACAGTAGAATTACTCCAATTAGTCTAATAAGATTTTTTAGTCCCTAACAGGTAAGGTACTGCTCTACAACAGTCAGAAAAGGAAACATGAATCATATGAAAAAATATCATGCACCAATATAGATTAGGGGTTGACCTGCTAGAAAGCAACCCCTGGAGAAGGACCTTGAGGCCCTGGTGGACAACAAATTACCCATGGGACAGCAATGTGCCCTTGTAGGCATGAGAGCCAAATAGTATCTTGGGACGTATTAAGAACAGTGTGGCCAGCAGGTCAATGAAGGTTCTCCTCCCCCTCTACTCTGCCCTCATAAGACCGCATCTGGAGTATTGTGTCCAGTTCTGGGCTCCCCAGTTCAAGGAGGACAGGGATATGCTGGAAAGACTCCAGTGGCAAGTTGTGAGGATGATTAAGGGACTGGAACATCTGTCATATGAAGAAAGGCTGAGAGACATGGAGCTGTTTAGTCTTGAGAAGAGAAGACTAAGAGGGAATCTTATTAATGCCTATAAATACCTGAAGGGGGATGTCAAGAATGGGCCAGTCTCTTCTCAGTGGTGCCCTGTGATAGGATGAAGTGAAACAGCACCAAGCTACAACACAGGAAGTTCAACCTCAATATGACAAAAAAAGTTCTTTACTGTGAGGGTGATGGAGCACTGGAACAGGTTGCCCAGGGAGATAGTTAAGTCTTCTCTGGAGACTTTCAAGACCTGTATGGATGCGTTCCTGTGTGATCTGCCCTATGTTGTTTCTGCTGCAGCAGGGGGTTGGACTTGACGATCTTCAGAGGTCCTTTCCAACCTTTATGATCAGCAAAGATTTTTAAAAAATTATTTATCTGTATACAGATCACTTGTGGGGTTAGGGAGGAAAGGAACCAAAATGAAGGTAGTTGATAATGGAAACAAGTCGAGGAATACAAAATGTCTTCAGTTCTACACACTGTGATGTGGAATGTGCATTGTTTACTACATACTCAACTTCCTCTCACAAAATCCAGATGTATTCAAAGGGAAGTATCATGACTACAATTATGACTGGTGGCCTCTTTTTGCTTAAGAAATGGACTGAGTGCATTAAAATCCAAATGCCTGTATTATGCTAACTTGCTTTTCAGAATGATTGCTCACTTATTAATTTGCAAAATTCACAAGCACAGCAGGGCTCAAGGAAATTTAGTAAGGTACCTATCAACTGCTGTTTTTTTCCACTTAAAACCCCACCACCTGCTCTGCTGTACTTGCTATTTAAATAGCATTAAGAGACAAAAACAAATAATAGGAAAGTAAAGAGGATGAAGAAAAGTGAATTATAGAGGGCAACTGATTCCTAGCACTAGCATTTGAGCAGCCTCTAGTGGGAATTGCAGAAAACACCGTGCTCCTGAAGAAGAGGCATGAGCACTTCAGATCTCTCCGGAAGGTAACAATCCTGCTCTACCTGCAACTTCTTTTCCAGCTCTTAAAGCAATCCCACAAACCAGTGGTCCGCCAACAATCACCCTCTCACTCTGAACCAGCAATGCTATGGAGGAGAAAAACACCTTCTCCTTTTTAATCTTTTTAGGGAGGTTTAAAAAAAACAAAACCACAACAAATCAAAAAACACAACACCACAAAAAAACTTGTACATTCTGATTAAGAACTGTCCTGTATAATAATATTCCACATGTGGTAGAAATTGTATTTTCTAATTAGCTGTAAAAATAACTTGTTCTTTCAGTCACATCATTACAATTACATTAGTTTGGCCTGTATTTCTTACACTATCACAGGTATAACACTATTGCAAGTTTTAGTTTTGAGTTTCAATTTTTTTAAAGTATGTTAGCATTGAATCAAATTACATTAGATCACATTATCTTTCATCAATGCACACTGTTCTTCTTAGTTTATCAGCTACTTAAGATACTAAAGTGTACATAGTTTACCTAATTTAAATTTACTACACAAAATTTCTTTTAACTGAAACCTATGTTATCTATCTTCTGCAATACAAAAATTGTTAGAAAAGCTAAATCACAGCTGTATATTCAGAAAACATTACAGCTTTTCCTACAATAACTTTAAATGTAGCTTTCCTACACTGTCCCAGGCACCAAAACAACAGAAGCCACCAATGAGTATGAAAGACATTTTTGCAAAGTTCATTAATTTCTTAACTAAAAGGCAAAAAGGCAGAACACAGAAAGAATAGAAACAATTTTATCAAATAAGTTCTCTTTACCTCTAGATCAGACAGGGACACAGATTACAAAGCTTAAAATGAACACTGAAAGACATATATATACAAAAAGGACTCATTCACCAGCAACACTCATAACAATTATTTACATGACTACAGTTCTATCAGCGCTCAATTTTTGTTTGATTTTAAAGACCTAAAACCCAGTTAGTATAAGACCATTTACACAAAGCTGAAGTAGCTTCTTTGCTGAATGGATTGAGAACAGCCTTGAGGGGAAGGACCTAAGGGTGTTGGTTGATGAAAAGCTCAACATGAGCCAGCAATGTGCACTTCCAGCCCAGAAAGCCAACCATGTCCTGGGCTGCATCAAAAGAACGGTTGCCAACAGCTCAAGGGAGGTGATTCTCACCCTCTACTTCACTCTCCTGAGGCCCTACCTAGAGTACTGTGTCCAGTTCTGGAGACCTCAACACAGGAAGGACATGGAGCTGTTGGAGTGAGTCTAGAGGAAAGCCATGAAGATGCTCAGAGGGCTGGAACACCTCTCCTATGAAGACAGGCTGAGAGAGTTGGAGTTGTTTGGCCTGGAGAAGAGAAGGCTTCAGAGAGACTTTACAGCAGCCTTCCAGTGCCTGAAGGGGGCCTACAAGAAAGCTGTTGAAGGACTTTTCACCTGGGTGCATAGTGATAGAACAGAGACTTAGGCTAAACATTAGGAAGAAATTCCTTAGTGTGAGGGTGGTGAGACATTGGAACAGGTTGCCCAGGGAGGTTGTGGAGGCCCCCTCTTTGGAAGTGTTCAAGGACAGGTTGGATGGGGTTTTGAGCAACCTGGTCTAGTGGGGAAGTGTCCCTGCCCATGCAGGGGGTTGGAACTAGATGACCTTTAAGGTCCCTTCCAACCCTAGCCATTCTATGATTCTATGAAAAAGGCTCATTTGCATTATCTGAAATTTCTTCTTTCAAAAGCAGCCAGGGTTTCCTATCCAGTTTCAAAACGGAAGATTGATCAGAAGTGTATCGTGTCACAACACTGAACTTTTCATAAGCAAAAATCAGACAAATTACATCTTGCATGCACAATCCAGGACACAGTAGTTTACTATTCTATATTCACATATTTTTTGCACACAACGTTTCATTTGCATTTAAAATTCACAGCCACAGTATTAATCTCCTCTTGGAAAAGTGCATAGAGTTTACACTTAGAAAAGGCAGATAACTCAGAATTATAAAAACTAAAAACAGTGAGCAGAACATCACAGCAGATTCCTAGTAAATCACTTCCCGATGTTGAAATTGGTGTAAGTTATACCTTTCTCTTCAAATACATGCTATAAAACTTACCAGAAAAACCCAATTCAAAAACTCACAGTGGCTAGGAGGAACTAAGAAAACCTCTAGGTGAATTACTTGAAAAGTGATATACGAGGTGAGGCTAGATGATATGGTTCCAATCTCACAACCTTAACAGTACATTTTAAAGTTCATTAGCTTCCCTGAGCCGACTGCTTAATGCTTTCATAAATCCTGCTTGTACGGTATCAAAAATATTCTAGAGACACTGAGCCTTCTTCAAAAAATTCTGCAATCAGAGTGAGATTAATTCTGGTTCACAAAATCGTAATATTAGGAATGGAAAGGTAACCCCAATTCATCAGGATTTACAGTATTTGCAAATATGAACTCTAAGGATAATTCCGCTAGGTTTTATTATATTGATTATCTTTGGTGTACCAGCAGACTGCATCATTTCATGTAGTATTATATTAAAAACAGTATTTAAACAAATCATTATTTGAACTGGTATTTCCTAAGAAAATAATTGAGCTTTCAAAGAGTCAACATTAATGGTTACCACACATGATAGAGCCTTAACAAATAAGGTGATATTAGAAAAATTGTTATAAAAAAAGAAATACATTCCTTGGTTCAAAAAGAAATCGTGAAGCTATTACCAGCCTGCCTAGGAACAAAAGCTGATTTGTGCATATCTACTGAAAAATGAGAAATAAGCCTCTGAACACAGGAAAGAACTCTCCTTTTCTTCACATGCCAGCACACAAATCCAGCCCACTCCACATATAAAAAGACCTCCAATTACTTGAAGAATTTCTGCATACTTCCCAACTGGTCTAAGAATAGTGCAGGCAAAGTCCCTGGGGACGTAGCTACTAAATTCCATGCACAGACAGCAATTTTTCAAAACTTTAATTTGATGCAACCTGTTGCCTCCATGAAAATCTATTCAAGAGGCCTACTGCTGACAGAAAGGCTTGCTGCTGGCGAAGCGCTGCATCCCCATTTCAAGGGTCAGTAACACTAGAGTTTTTCAGAGAATAAGAGGCCAGAACATTTTTTCCTAATTTCATTTCCAACAGTGGATCAACTGTTTTGTATGAGAGGTTTCCAGAAGCAGTGCACTAAAACAGTCGTCTTTTAATTTTTAAATCGAAATATTAACATTTGGTAAAGTTATAATATTTGGAACCCATGTAACAAGCATGAGGTATTTGGTAAGCTTAATACTCAGCATTGCTAGTTTCACCTATGAAAAATAAGTAGCACTTCAGAATAGTTTAACCCTGTACATTAACGTCAACTAAGGAAGCTGGTTTTAGAAGCAACAATTACTCTCAACAAAAATTTCTCCCTTCAAATTGTCCCAAGCCAGGTAAATTTCTTAACCGCCCCTCCCCCCCCTAGCCCCAATGTTTTAAAATAAATTGTTATATAAAATTACTCAATAGACTCAATCTAAGAGAAGCAACCACATACAAATGTTCACATTACTTACAAGTCTCTGTGAATTAAAAAGACTTCAACAATAATAATTTTCAGCTGTTCACATCAAGATACACAGTTGCCAGAGATGGCACGTACAATATTTTAACAGCTGGGACAACAGCCACTACTAATTTTCTTCTGTTTACAAAGCCAGTTTGTTTAAAAAGTGCTGGTTTACAATAGAAAGTGCGTGTTTGGGATACAAAATTAAATTATATTTTTGCAAAGCCCACAACAGCTGAACTTCAGTATAATCCTCTGCACTGACTTAAATGGTTGCTGTACCTATAAAACCTTACCTAAGCTTGCTGTGAGGCATTCCAGATCTGCTAAAAATCCAGGTATTTGTTGGAGTTGACCCTGTAGTTCCACCAGACTGTTCCTTTTCTTCTCCCAGTGTGCAGAAAGCATCACAACTTCACTATCCACCAGCTGAAAGAAAAGTTATTTACTTTACTTGCAAACTTATGTACTTATTCACAAGAATCTTGACTAATTTTAAGAGTTCATGCATCTGCAAGTGTAAGGTCAGCACAGAAACCTTACAGAATGGCTAGTTGTGTACTTCTCAAGTAAATATACAATATGCTCAAGAAAGACCCAGTAGAATGAAATATTTATATAAAAATGTATTAAAAGGTATTTCTCAATATACCAATCAATGCAGGAAATATTTTATGGATTTTATTAACTCTAAGTAGCACGTATCTGGAATTGTTTGACAGTTTGTATTGTGTTGTTACACAATAACAGCTGGCAGTGCTGCAATGTATTTGGAACAGTAACTTAGTTTAATGGTGCTAGCTATACCAACTTAATCAATAAAATCAAGATAGCTTAGTTTGCTTGGCATGTTTTTACCACCTATTATCACTCCAGAAAACAGAATGTTTGATTTAGAAGAAACACAAGTTCCAGAACCAGCTTCATTTTCAGAAATTACAAGTCTGGGACACACTATCTTTGCAACATCAAAATCAAATTACAATCATGATTAGAGCTGTCCGTAGTAACAATACAACTGAAAATTCTGCACTTTAAATACTCTAGAAAATTCAAGGAATTACATTTTTTTTTTAAAGTTGCCTTTTTAACAGTCCTGCTTTCTGTTCTTGTGATAATCTCAGCTGCAGTAGTTGCCAAGTCGTTATGAACACACTCCTACATGAGTTACATTCTTGTTGTTTGAGTCCCCCTAATTTTATTGTACATAGTATAATCAGGAGACAATACACTGTTTAAGAGTTTTAGTTACATAGGCCAATTTCTATGAAAAAAGCAAGACCAAGAGATCCTAAGTAACAAATGTTTTGCTTATAAGTGATACTATAGATGACTGAGTTTTGTTTTCCTTGCTCTTACTTCCATCATTCATTCTTCCTCTTGCACACAACTGCAGCCTTTGGCTGTATCTGCATTCTGAATTCCTTAGTTTTTGTAGAATTTAGTTGCAGAAACCAAAAAAAGTCTGAGCAATGGGGAAAGAAAGTTCTCAGATATTTACAGTTCTACCAACTTCAGACAGATTCTTTTAGAAGAATGACAACTTCTCCCATTTACAAATTATTAAAATAAAGCAAACTATTTTAAATTTATATCTGTTAATCAGTAAAACAAACAAAACCATCATAAGATGAGGGCAAACAGTAGAAAAATACTTCAGCTCAGGGAAAATTAAATGCAGCTAAAATTACAAGCACATAAAGGCAGTATTTTTAGGACAATATTGTAGTTGGAACTAGTAGTTAGCATCAATAATTTTCCATGATAAGACTGTAGACATCAATTAAAGCTTGACATTTTCACATTCCTTTCTCTATTCAACATTTATAAACTACTCATGCAGTCTTACTCATCTGCTATAGCCCAGTACCAGACACAGGATACTGAACAAGGGACCTTTAGGTCTGATATAGTAGAGTCAATCTTGTGTGCTTACACAATTCTTGCATTATTGAACCCTGTATTTGCTACTTTTATAAAAAAGAAACAAACAAAAAACCCCAAGTAATACCTATTTCAGATTCTCCCAAAAGTAAATGTCTGAATTTAATGGTAAATTTCAGTCTTTTCAGAAGCTTTTCATTCCAGTTTTCACACACAACCATACCATGTGAGATTAAGGTTACAATGGTTTTATACATGTGAAACCTCACATTGTTTTCAGAACTACAGTTTTTAAAGCAAACTATCGTAAGCATTATAAAATTGGAAGCAAGTAATCTAAAAGGTTTTATAAAAAATCATCATCAGTAACGTACACAAAGCTGGTAGAGAGAAATTAATCTCTAATAACTGAAGGTTTTTACTGGAACAGGTGGCCCATACTATTAGGCAAAAGACAGAAGAACCTAAGGTAGTATTTGCCTCACTCTAAACAGGCCTCTTCAAAATATAATAAGCAATGAGGTTTTTATCCACTGAAACAAGATACAGAGAAGACTCCTAAGGAAACCAGAAGAGTCAGGGAGGATTCAGCTGGCCAAAGTGAAGGTTTCACCCAGGACAAAGAACCCCACAGCTCAGCCCGGCTGTGCATGGTGGCCAACAAGCTTTGAAATGGAAGGTCTGGTGCAGACCTCCAGGAGAGAAGAGCCATGCACTGGTAGCAGTTACTGGAAGTTTTCTTTCCTTTCATTCTAGAAATAAGCCACACAACTTGTAACTTTACTTCTAGGATAAGAAAACTGAATTAGGAGAAAGTACACACACTTCCAGCCAGACAAGTCAAACCTTGTTGTTTCCTCTTCACTAGGAGAAGACAGCAGCATCAAGCAGCAGTCCTGACCTCATACTAACCCACCAGCTTTCCCCAAGCCAAAATCTATTCTGTATTTTCCCAGCACCAAGCCCCAGTGCTTTTAAAGAGCTACAGAAACAGTATACAACATGCTTTTCGCAACTGCTTACATTGCATCACATTACTTAATGTTTTAATTACATTACTGTTTATACTACACTACATTGTTTACATTACTATTTATTGTTTACATTGCCATTTATTGGCAATGTTAAGATGGCTTCAGCAGTCTCAAAATAATATTCACAGCTAATTTAAAATCTTTCAAGAATTGCAGAAGAGTCCAGAAAATGATGATTTGAACTTCTGGATGTGTGTTAACCAACACCTTTTCATCACACTATTGACAAAGCTGTGCTTCTCAATACCCTTCTCTAACCTAACATCCCACAGAATAACAGTAAGTTAGTATAATTAATATTTTTTGCTTAAGTGCAAGTAGTGACTGCAACTATCTGAACAAAGGATGGAAGACAGGAATTTCTGGGTGCCAATGTATAAGTCAATAAGTACTTTAAAAGCACTAGAAAATTCTCATGTTCAGTGTTTACTATAGTAATCGAAATATCAGAAAGTAAACAGGAGAATTAACTGTAGATAATTCTTGTTACGTGATACCTTGTAAGAAACATGATCCCAGAGAATTTGTTTTTACAATATAAATATTTAATAATTTAAGAACACTAATTTTTGACCAAGTATCATCAAATCTGGAAGAGCTGTTTGAAAGAAGATCTGGACCTTCTGAGCCATTCCATGAGCTCCCTGGCAAACACCATCTTAAAAAAACTAAGGGTTTGGTCTTCCAAGGTAACCATTGCTCTGAGACTGGCTGGGCAGTGGTCTACTTGTGGAAGGTTGTGAGTGACTGCTTTTGTTTTATCTCTGTTCTTCAACTATTAAACTGTATTTATCTTGAGCCAAGAGTTTTTTCTCATTTTGTTCTTCCTGTTCTCTCCTCTGCCCCACTGGTGGGGAGTGAACAACACTGTGTGGGTGCTTAACTAGTGGTCAGCATCAACCCAGTACACTGGTACTAAAAATTGTAGTTTAAAAATATCTACACATTTAAAAATACTTCATGTGTGGCATTGTTATTCTTTTCTTACCTCTCCAGCTTTTGCACAATCCTTGGCTCCTTTGTGAAGGGCAGCCCAAGCATCTTCGTACCTGAAGAGAAGGCAAATAAAGGGCTATTTTTACTGTGTTTGCCTTACAAAGAGAGGACTTCATGGATGCCACTGTGCTTATGTCTATAGGGGCTACCAGAAGTAACAGTTTAAAGAGATGTTTTGGTAAAACAGTAAATACCAGAAAGAAACACACAGCAAGAAATAGTACCAATGAAAAAGTGATTCAGGTTTTTTAAACTGCTAGCTTACATTAAGAGCTAAATAGACTCAGCAATATTTATAAGACTACATGTGTTGCTTTTCCTCCTGAACTTCTGTTTCATTAACACAACAGCATTTAAGGATTGGGAAAGCTTTAAACAATTTTATCATCCAGTAACCACCCCCACTCTACTCACTGCAGAATATAAAAAAACCTATCAGTAACAGCTTTATTTTCTTCTCATTTTCTTAACCTAATAAAGTGATTTCTGAAATTACAGGAAGCAGACACTAACAAAGAAAAGGAAGGTCATACCTGCTCAGTAATTCCAGTCCAGCAGAAAACTCTGGCAAACCCTGAACATTTCTGTAAAATAGATTGTAAATATACAAATGTTGTTAATTAATAGAAGGCTGTTACAAAAAATGCATGCACAAACATCTGCATTTAATAGACATGCTGAACACAGAAACATTACATACTGTTCACTTTCACAAACATTTTGTCAATTCTGATTTAAAATGCATTACACAGTGAATGTTCCAAAGTTAGGGTTGGGGCTTTTTCCTCTTGTTATTTTATAATAACCCATTCTTACCTCTTTTTGACTATGTTCGTGAAAAACAACTGTACCACAAATTAATCTCTTAAAAGTTAACAGAGGTTTTGCCTTGTTTTAACTTTAAACAGTGGACAGAAACATTCTGAAAATAAGACTACTACACATGTTATGTCCCTCAGTAAAGATATTGCACTTAATGTATTGTACATTAAAAATAAATAGTAAGCAAAGAACCTCTGCCAGTTTAATGTTCTAATGATATCCCATTGGATGCATACATTTTAATTAATAACAGGTTGAAATATAAAGGCAATTCATTATTAGTTAAAGAAAATTAAAAATGCAACATTTTTTAGGACATATAATGTGAAGGTCTTGATGTCAACAAAGATTCATCTCTTGGTAGTTTAGCTGAGTAGGTTGTTTTGCAGTACCATACAAACAATTTGAAAGGAAAAAAAACAAACCTGTGAGGAACCTGTTCCACTGACTGATTGTCCTAATGAGGAAAAAGCTTTTCCTTCAACTCATCCTGTCGGAACATCTCCTGTTTCAACTTATGCCTATTGCCTTTTGTGTTCCTATCACATACTAGAGTCAAGAGTCTGGCTGCATCTCCATAATCTCTGCATAGGGAATGAAGGGCTGCTATTAGGTCTCCCCAAAGACCTAAGTTTTCCAGGCTCAACAAGTTCCTGTCTCAGCCTTTCCTTACATAAAGAGAGTTTCAACCTCAACCTGGAGCAAGTTTAGTCAGGGGCCATCAATACGGTAATCAAAATCTTTCTTACATCAGGTGCCCAAAACAGTAGCTAGATGTGCTGAGTGTGGGAAATAATCACCTCCCTCAATTCCACTGCCTGTGATCCTTTTCATAAATCCCAGGAGCTGCTGGCTTTCCTTGCTGCCAGACACATTGCTGGCTCACTTTCAGCTTGCTGGCTGCCAAGACTCCCCAGGGTCATTTCAGCAAAGCTGCTTCTGGTAGTCAGTCAGCACCAGTCTGTATTTTTGCAGAGGATACTTTTCCTCCCAGGGAGAGACCTTGGATTTTTACCTCTTGAATTTCATGAAGTACCTCTTGACCCACATGGTCCTATTCAGGTTGGAATAGACCCTTGGGATCACCCAGTCCAACCATCATCCCTACTCCACAAAGTTCTCCCCTAAACCATATCAACCAACACCACATCCAAACGACCCTTAAACACATCCAGGGATGGTGACTCAACCAACTCCCTGAGCAGCCTATTCCAGTGTCTAACCAGTCTCTCTGTGAAAAATGTTGTCCTAATGTCCAGTCTAAACCTCCCCTGTTGTAGCTTGAAGCCTTTCCCTTTTTGTCCTGGTTTGAGCCAGGATGAAGCCAATTTTTCTTTTTACTGATTTTTTTTCCTTCAGTAAGCTTTCTTGTAACTAGCAACAGTGTGTTCTGCTAGGTAAGCTCAGAGGAAGGTCAGAGATCACAGAAGACAACTTCCTACCTTGTTCTTCTTCCCTTCTCTTCCATCCATGGCCGGCGTCCGGGGAGGACTCTGTTCATCCATCACCGTCGACCCTTAGGCTCGAGATCTCCTGACCCCCATAACTCTCTGCTTTCTCCAGCAGCAGCTCCGGGATTCCTCGGGACTCTTCCCAGTTCAGGGAAGTGCTGTGGGAGTTGCTGGGGTGGGGGGAGGCGAGAGGCTTTTGCCCATACCTGAACATATCTGTACATAATTGTATATATTTTCTTGTATGATTCATTAGTGTTTTAATTAAAGCTGTGTAGTTTAGTTTTCAATCCAGCCAAGTCTCTCTCTTTTTCTCTCTCCTTCCCTACCTGGGTTGGGGGAGGGAGGGGATCGAGAGCATTGTTGTCGGACCCGAGTCAAACGGTGACAACAATTAATTGGTGACAATAATTTATTTATTTAATTAAAACAAAACATTCCACTGTCTTATCAGCCTAGCAGAACACACTGTTGCTAGTTACAAGAAAGCTTACTGAAGGAAAAAAATCAGTAAAAAGAAAAATTGGCTTCATCCTGGCTCAAACCAGGACACTTTTGTTTAGTCACTAATTACCTGTGAAAAGAGACCAGCACCACCCTCTCTACCTTTCAGGTAGTTGTAGAGACTGATGAGGTCTTTCTTCAGCTTCCTCTTCCTCAAACTAAACATTCCCAGCTCCTTCAAGCATTCTTCTTCTTGACTGCATCCTAATGTGTTGTCCTTTCAGCAAGGAACTTAAAGCCCACCACAAGAATGGAGGTTTACTGATACAGACAGTTCCTCAAGCTTTTTAGAGAAGACATCATTCACTACCTGATTGGACTGTCAGAAACAAACATTGCTATATCACCTTTACTTGCCCTCTCCTCTGATCCTGACACACAAGCTCTCAGCCATTCTACAAACAAGCTAAGCTGTATTTGTCCCAGAACTTTAACAGCAATGCAGATATCACTCTGGTACTCCCCTGTTTGTGATAACCCAATGGGTTTACCCTGTGCTTTTCTCAAAAAGTGATAGAAACTTACAGTACACCAGATGAACCAAACATTGATGGATTGGAAACATACAAAGAAGACAGTTGCCTAGAATAATTTCATTCAAACCTTCATCCATTCTTAGTTCAGTTTGCATGTCTTGACAATACAACCAGTGTTCTGTTAAAAAGCCTTTACATTCAAAACACTGAGCTTCAGAACTTCCTACACTTTGTTTCAGATGCCTTATTTTCTGTTCAGGGCTTGTTTTAAAACTGATTGGTTTCTACACACTGTGTTTTAGTAAGAACATGCTTTACACGAAAGCACATTGGAGTTTATTTGAAGAAGCAACATTCACAGGTGTCATACACATTAAATAGTCTGCAGAAGATAAAAGCATCAAAATTCTTAAATCTTGCAAGAGATGAAAAAAAGGTAACTGAAGTACTCCATTATACATACATTTTCCACACTAAAAAGTCTCATACACTAACAATAACTGAATTACAATTTAACACACGATATTCAAAGAGAATGTAAATAACTACATTTCAGTGTATTGCAACCTGAATCATGTACAAAGTACTACAATAATGTTGAATATTCATATAATTTAAGCAGTTATTTATACAGTGATTGATAGTACTGAGAAATTATTTAGGCTTATCAATTAAGGTTTTATTAAGCCAAGTGTTCCCTTGGTATAAGGTTTAAGCTCTTCTGTTATCAAAGATTCTGTAAAATTATACACAAATGTTTTTGTAACTGGCTCATATATATTAGCTGCTTTCAAATTTTTCTTAATAACATCCTATATCAATGCCATACATTAAGATGTTTAGAAGTACCTCTGCCTGCTTTTTTTTGCTTCTCTTGATTTGTCACCCAAAGTCTTCAACCTATAAATTAAAACACAAAATGATCAGGCATTTCCAACACTAAAAACAGAGAACAAGTTGTTTGAACACATAATATGTTCATTCCAGTCTATTACCATTAACTTTGTTTCAGCTTGTTTCAAAAATCAATAAAATTTCACTTGGGTTTGTGGAGACAAAATTTCATCATATAAAATTACCTCTACCTACACTGATTCTAAATTGTGAGATTTTTCTACAAGTGAATCAAGCAAGTATGAGTAGTTTAATGGGAGCTAATCCAGGTCATCCAGTTCTTGATACTGTTTCCTTAGCAGACAGGCACTAAAGATCTGCATAGAAATAATCAATCCAATCCTGAAAAATGCCCTTTACCTGAAGGCATATGTGCCAAGCAAAAGCATAACAGTCACAGTGACATTTGTACCCACTTGCCATAAGTCTGCCAACACAAAACTAGCATGAGCCCAACTTTTCTCTGCCAGCTATAAGAATTTCCAGCAGCATCAACACAGTGTGCTGCTACACATCTAAGGCTTGTTTCACCTATTTTCACACAATTTTGAACAGACTGGTACCTTACTCCTAAAAAAAACATAAAAAAAACCCCAAAATCCCAACCAACAACAACCAACGTACACAAACACCATACAAATCTTTTCCACACTTGACTTATTTTCAGTCACCTCATATATGCCAGTCAAGTTGGCATGGCAGAGTGAGAACCAAAACCTCCTGCTATTCTCCAATTACCAAGCTGATGGGTGTCCTCAGCCTCTATGCCCTTCAGAGTCCTAGCTATCCAGGACAGCAAGGATTAGGAAGAAGTAAAGGACACATAGACATGAGCAATATGGAAATGAGCTATAAGCTCCAAAAATATCCTCCAGATGTGACAAGAGAGATACATAAACCTGACTAACTCAGTGACTGAGAAACACCCCTAATACAAAGATATGCAGACTGCTCCTAGGATGAGCCAAATCAGTCCCCCAGTCTCAGACACCACCAATTTTTCTGGAACTCAAATAAAAAACCTTAAAGATCTACAGCAAAACATATGGCTGGTCATTTGAGAAAAGACATGCTAAGGCAGGTCTCCACTCCCTGTTAGAGAGCTGCTCATAATAGTCAAGCCAAGTAGCAATACGCACAGCAAAAACTGAGGAAGAACACTGCTGCAGAAAATTCTGCAATTTGCCTTCCTTCTGTCATGCTCCCCAGTACACACCCCAGTCTGTAACAACAGCATTCCTCTGCTGTTGAAGGGACTGAAGGACATGCTGGACCACAACTACGAGTTCTCTTACTAGATATCTGTCAGGCAGTCAGAACTAAAAATTAAAAAGATTATCACCAGACTACAGAATATTGGCTTCCTTTCAGCACTGCCCTCTGGTACTGTGAGCCATATCACTCAAGCAGGCAGAATTGCAAAACTTACTGCCTGGGCACAAGCACAGCTCACCATTGTTTGTTTCTTCCTCCTGCAAAAGACTGCTTACAGATAAATGGGTCAAAATCTAGATACCTCACTCACAAGATATACAGAAGTAGACAGAAGACATGACTGAGCAGAGGAAAGGGGAGCACATTTGTTTGTACACAAAAAAAAGATAATAACCCTAAACTGCTCACTCTTTAGACCACACGACCTCAGACTCAATCTTTTTAAGGTGTACATAAACACTCCCTTACTCCTTTGGAAGCGATACCCTTTACTTGGAAGCCCTAGAAAAACTTCTCCCCCAATGTTTCAAGAAATCCAGCTGTTCCATTTTGCAAGCATTCATATGTAGCAAAGAAGTTGGCCACAACTGGTTGCAGTACTTTTAACCACAGAAATACTTTCTCTGGGTTTTGACCCTCTTAAGCTAAAGTCTTAACAGCATACAATTACTCCTGTTACCACTTTGGTGGAATAGGGAACAGGGTAATCCAGGACACTATGGCACTGTGGTTGCATTGCCTAGAAAAGGAAAAGGGGCAAAACAGGAACAGGTTAGGTTCTGGCCTGAATCCATGGGGAAACAATGGGAAAAGAACACCTGATTCCCTTCAGAGCCTCTGCTACTATGGCTCTAAAACACAGGTTCCTCGGGGCAACAAAGATTACACTGCAGACGGAATAAAAAACACATTAAGACAGGACTCTCCAAGAAGGGCACACTAATGGAACTGCTAAAAGACAAAGATAAAATCAGCGACTGCCCTCAAAACAGAAGAAAACATTGCAATGCAAAGGAACAAGGCAAATAAGAGAATACATGGAAACATACTGACTCCATTGCAGCAACATATGGAGACATATCTAAATGACCACCAGATCCAACATGGTATGACCTTTCCGTTGTCCTCTATCATCATGTGAAAAACACATTTTTCAAAGGAACCTTATACTGCACTGAGGCATCTAACCCTGTGAGAAAGTCTAAAAATAACAGAAAAACAGAAAGACCACGATAAAGCAATGCCTTAGTCTGTATTCTTAAGATGTTTTAATATTTAATTAAGGTTTTTTAAGATGAGACAGATAACATACAAGCAATTTATCTGGTTGATTGGTAGCCTATTCTATCGATTTTTTTAGACTATCATATACTGTTGTGAATAATTCCTTATAAACTATTTAAGTTCCTGGAGTACACGGACATCCATCACCATATATAAATATTTACCATAGGAGTTATAAGGCAGCCTTAACACAACCAAAGACCACGCAGTTTTTAAAAGGAATTGATGACAACGCGACAAGCTCCCGTGGCTCATCCCGAGCCGACAGCTTTGCAGCACAGGAATGACCTTGCTCTCCAGCCATCCCCTGGCTGCCAGGAACGCTCACTTGGACCACCTGCTTGTACTTAAAATAGCATCGATACAGGGACTATCTTAAAAAACCACAACACCCTGTGAGGCAAGGCAGGAAGAACATCTTTCTGCTTCTGGATGTCAGCGAGGTGCTGCTCATTCCGCTTACCCTGCACTTCTTTTTTTTGTCCAACGTAATTGCAACAACTCACCTCCCAAGGAAACAAAAGCTTTTTATGTGCCGAACCAGAGCACAGCGATGCTCTTTCAAGCAATTACGTCAATCTATAAAAACCCCGGAGGTCAGTTCCTTCATGAAAAATTCAAGCGCGCTCACTGACCCCACTCGCATCTTCCTCATTCCCTCAAAACAAGGCTGCCTCTCTCCCCGTGACCGCAGCTGCCTCCCCAGATGCCCAAAGGCACCTCTCTCCTCCCACCAACTCCTGACTGGAACCGCAGGCTGCCCCGCAGAGGCGGGAACAGGCCCAGGG